GCAGGGAGCCCGATGTGGGGCTCGATCCCAGGACCCTGGGATCATGACCTGAGCCGAAGGCAGACGCTTAACAACTGAGCCACCCAGGCGCCCCTCTTGTTCAGGACTTTGAAATGCCTTTAAGTCACCCTGTTTTGCTGGCTTCCTCCTCTTTGAAATCTCAGTTTCATGTCCATTTCCTGCAGATGCTCAGGAACTATTACCTTCGCCTCCTCGTACCACCTTGTTCATATCTCTACCCGAGCGGTCACCACACTATGTAGTAAGTCTTTGCCGCCAAACTGTGACCTCCTTAATAGCTAGGTGCTTTGATCACTGTATCCTCAACACCTATACAATCATTGAAAACAGTAGATCCCCAACAAATGTTGATCTGAAATGTTGAAGGTGGGTCTTTTTCCCACCTCGGACCCTCTCACCAAATGGAGTGATTGCACAGTTTTCTTCTCTTTTCCTTAAGGCTTTTAGTCTCCACTCCTTTCCTCGCTTCCAAGATTTCTTTCGTTCTTAGGAGATCATTACATGTATGCATCTGTCCTGCAGCTTGTGCAGGTCTGTGCCCACTGCCACGCATCACAGGGCCTGTGGCCACTCACTTCTCCTTTTCCGGTACTTGTCTTGTTTTTGCCCTTCAATTTCAGGAACTGAGGACATGTTAAATAAGTTGCTTTTAGCTGAGCTTTTATTTATTTTTTTAAATATCAGTTTCTTGGATTTATTTATTTTTGATTATTTAATTTTTTTTACAATAAACATACAGCATATTTGTAATGAAAAGAAATAAACACATAATCAAAAATTTATAAAAGACACCCACTATAAAGCCAGTGTGTAAGCCATCACTGAGAGTAACAGGCAATAACTGATTAAAGCATGAAGTATTCACTGATAAGAGAAAACTTTAGAAAGGACATAGGGCCATTATGGACCAAACAGCTAATATCTGGTACAGAGAAAGTAGTCATTGATTGTCTCAAGGCAATGGGCTGGTGGAGGGAGCTTTTTCATGGAAACCATGCCCTCAGTATCATTTTACTTTAAAGTAAAATAAATATCCTGATTTTCTTAAATCCAGCTTTGACCACAGTCTAATTCATGTCCAAATGAGTGTGATGATACTGGGTATAGAGGAAGGTTTAGCTGAGCTTTTAAGAAGGAATTTTCCCCTACACACTAGAAGATGTCCGTCCTATACTAGCCTCTTTTCTTATTTGTTGAGTCCTCGTGACAAGCCTGGCACTGTGCAGGTTCATGATCTGTCGGCAGAGGCAACCACTGCCTTAGGGTGGTTTTCATCGACTGGACATCCTTTGCGAACATACAGCAGGGCATTTGTCTTAGTCCTTGGTCAGATAGAGCTTCCTTGAGGAAGTGACATTTCTGTCAAACGTTCAAAGTTGACTAGAAGGTGGTTGAGGGGAAACAGGTGATAAAAGAGCCAAGGGAACAACGACAGGTTAAAAGGCCCTGGAGTGTGGAGGATGGGGCAGGGGCCGGGGTGGATAATGTCCATGATTTGAAGACCTCACCAGTAGCTGGAGTGTGGAGCTGGGTGGAGTGGTCCAGATGAGGCTGAAGAAGTAGGCAGAGAGGGACTCAGACAGAGCCTGGATGTATGATAAGGCTGCTTTAGTCAATAATCTTAGTTGTAAGTGACAAAAATCCACCTAAGAGAAAAGGGAAGACTTAATTGGCTTTCATGGTCAAAGACGTCATTGAGTTGTGAATCCTCTGGCTCTGTTTGCTCTCCTTTGCATTAGCTTCATTCTTGGGCTGGCCTCTGAGAAATGGTCCTCTGATCCCCTTTGTTACACAGAAGCCAAAGACTGGGGTGGAAAGGAATGGGAGTGAGAAAGCCTCTTTTCAGGCCCCCTGGGGGAGGGCAGGAAGGTCGGCCTTTGAGGGAGTTCATGGAGGTAGAGAAGGGGACGGTTGAGGGATGCTGTTTCCAGACTCCAAAGCTGTTTGCTTTTGAAAAATAGCAAACCCACAGCCCCCTATCTCTGGAAAGGCCTAAAATGCATTCTCTCAGCTGCATCCTGAGCCTTCCAAGGAAACAGGATCATTTGGATTGGTAAGAGCAAACAAGGAGGGCGGGAACCCCAGAAACTCCTCCCGACTCCCGCCCCTCATTCTGGCCCCTGTGCTAAGCGGGTCCTGACCTATTGGTCTTGCTCGCGCTGCTTCTTCCCGCCCTTCTCAGAGTCCTTCAGGTCCCGCCCCAACTTCGGGGCTCCAGAACTCCCCGGTCCGGCGAGCTAGCTGAGCCGCAGAACGTCCCACCCTGGGACCCCCTTTTTTTCTGGGCTCCGGCGCTTCCGCCTCCGGGGCGGAGACTCCTCCCCCTCACTGTCCCAGTTGTGTTCCCTGGAAGAGCAGCTGGGAAAGCGTCCGCCTGCTCCGGCCGGGGCGAGCGAGAAGCCGGCTCCCTCCCGCAGCCCC